GGCAGGCTGAGGCAGGCTGAGGCTGAGGCCGAGGCAAGCCGAGGCAGGCTGAGGCTGAGGCTGAGGCTGATGCTGAGGCAGGCTGAGGCTGAGGCAGGCAGGCTGAGGCTGAGGCAGGCTGAGGCTGAGGCTGAGGCAGGCTGAGGCTGAGGCTGAGGCTGAGGCAGGCTGAGGCTGAGGCAGGCTGAGGCTGAGGCTGAGCAGGCTGAGGCTGAGGCTGAGGCAAGGCTGAGGCTGAGGCAGGCTGAGGCACTGAGGCTGAGGCTGAGGCAGGCAGGCTGAGGCTGAGGCTGAGGCTGAGGCTGAGGCTGAGGCTGAGCAGGCTGAGGCTGAGGCTGAGGCAGGCTGAGGCTGAGGCTGAGGCAGGCTGAGGCTGAGCTGAGGCTGAGGCTGAGGCTGAGGCTGAGGCTGAGGCTGAGGCTGAGGCTGAGGCTGAGGCAAGCAGGCTGAGGCTGAGGCTGAGGCAGGCTGAGGCTGAGGCTGAGGCAGGCTGATGAGGCTGAGGCTGAGGCTGAGGCTGAGGCTGAGGCAGGCTGAGGGCTGAGGCTGAGGCTGAGGCTGAGGCCGAGGCAGGCTGAGGCTGAGGCCGAGGCAAGCCGAGGCAGGCTGAGGCTGAGACTGAGGCTGAGGCTGAGGCAGGCTGAGGCTGAGGCCGAGGCAGGCGAATCTTTCGGAATCCTTGGGGTTCTATAGGAACCCTTGGGAATCCCTAGGAATCCTCAGGAATCAAGATTCCTAAGGATTCCTAAGGTTTCCTAAGGATTCCTATGGCTTCCTAAGGATGCCTAAGGATGCCTTAGGAATCCCTAGGAATCCTTAGGATTCCATTTGATCCTAAGGCCGTCGCCACTGCGACTGTCATTGCGACTGCGACTGCGAGAACAGCAGAATTCTACAACTGGATTCTCACCTGAATATTAAAGGGAATGCTTCCACATATGTTTATACGCTTCGCTGTTAGGTTGCTTTGCCGGGATAATTCGGCTTTCAAAAATCCATGACGGCCCAAGCAGCTTCCAGAATCGCCCCAGAACAGCCCAAAAAGCCCCCACGAGGGCCCCAAGACGGCCCAAGAGGGCCCCAAAACGACCCAAAGAGGCCCCCAAGACGGTCAAAGAGGTAGCGAAGACGGCCAAAGAGGACCACAAGAGGGCTCCAATGCGGCCGCGAGAGGCCCCCAAGACAGCCTCGGCCCAAGACGCCCCCAAGAGGCCCCAAGAGGCCCCCAACAAGCCTCCAAGAAGCCTCACCCCACCCTTGGCCACAGGTATCCCGAGCGGCGACTACGGGGCCCTCCCCACCAAGAAGGACGACGCCGGGTGCAAGGCGTGGCGAGGCAGGAAAAGGAGGGCAGCATTCTCTTTCTGGCGGCGCGACCACGCGCGCGGCGGCGCAGCGTAGAACGGGACGAGCGAGCGCGCGTACCGGCCCAGCTCGAGCAGCGAGGAAAATCTGGACCCACCCGTAGGGAATCGACAGCGGCACTCACGGGGGGGCAGCCGTGAGGCGACAGACGGGGGAACGAGGAGAGAAGGGGGCAGTGCGATAGTGCCAAGCCAAAGCTGCAAGCGAGGCGCAGCGGGGAACTGGGGCAGTGCAGCACACTCACGACAGTAAATTTGATCGTCAGATGCGGCGTGGACGCGCGAACGTGCTGGCGTTCCTCCGCCGCAGCGTTGGCACAAGATTGGGCTCCCTTTGACTTCTCCCAACCCTCCTGTGGTGGGTCCTCGTTTTGAAGTCGCAGCGCCGCGCGTCTCCATCCTATCCTCTCCTCTCCTCTCCTCCTCCCCTCCTCTTCCTCCTCACTCCTCCCTCCACTCAGTCCTCTTCCTCCTCGTCCACCTCCTCTTCCCTCTTCCAATTGCCACCCTGCTCTACAACATCATCATCATCATCATCATCATCATCATCATCATCATCATCATCATCATCACCACCATCATCATCATCATCATCATCATCATCATCATCATCATCATCATCATCATCATCATCATCATCGTCGTCGTCGTCGTCGTCGTCGTCGTCGTCGTCATCAGCATCATCAACAGCAACAACAAAAACATCATCAATATCATCAGCATCACCATCACCATCATCATCATCGTCATCATCATCATCAGCATCATCATCCTCATCATCATAATCATCATCACCAACACCATCGTCATCATCTGAATCATAATCATCTTCACCACCACCATCACCACCATCATCATCACCATCATCATCATCGGCATGAGCATCATCATCATGAGCATCGTCATCATCATCATCACCATCGCCATCGCCGTCACCATCAGCATCACAATCATCAGTATATCAATCGTCACTGTCATCAACAAGAACCACGAAAATAGTATCATCAGCATCACCATCACCATCACAGTCACCATCATCATCAGCATCATCATCAGCAGCATCATCATTATCGCCATCAGCATAGTTATCATCACCATCAGCATGACCACAGCATCATCATCATCACCATCAGCATCATCATCAGCATCATCATCGCTACCATGATCATCAGCATCATCAGCTGCATCAGCATCATGATCATCACGTTCATCATCATCATCATCATCAGCATCATCACCATCGTTATCATTATAATCATCATCATTACCAGCACCATCATCGTCATCATCCCTATCACCACCATCGCCATCACCATAGTCATCATCACAATCATCATGACCATCAGCAGCATCATCACCACCATCATCATCGTCGTCATCATCACCAGCATCACCATCATCATCACAATCATCAGCAGCAGCATTAGCATCATCATCATCAGTATCAGCATCATCATCGTCAGCTTCATCACCATCATCAGCAACATCATGATCATCATCATCAGCAGCATCACCATCACCACAACCATCATCATCATCATTATCATCATCATCATCATCACCACAATCATCACCATCATCATCAATTTCACCATCATCATCATCATCAGCAGCATCATCATCCCCATCATCGCCATCATCATCATCATGCTCTCGGCGTGTCTCTCACTCGTCTCGTGGCCCTATATGGGGGGCTCCACCGAAGGCCCCATTGGCTGCGTCCGCATGGTGGCCCGCCCCATCCCAGCGCACCGCTCACACGGTTCGTGGCCCCACAGGGAGCTCCACCGAAGGCCCCCGCCCCAGTTCGGCGTACCCCTCTCACGTTTCGTCGCCCCATAAGGAGCTCCACCGAAGGCTCCAGTGGCTGCGTCCGCATGGTGACCCGCCCCATTTCGGCGCACTCCTCACAAGCTTCGTCGCTCCATAGGGAGCTCCACCGAAGGCTCCAGGGGCTGCGTCCGCATGGTGACCAGCCTCATTCCGGCGCACCCCTCACAAGTTTCGCGGCTCCACAGGGAGCTCCACAAAAGGCCCCAGCGGCTGCGAGCGCATAGTGACCCGCCCAATTTCGGCGCACTCCTCACACGTTTCTGGTCCCATAGAGGGCTCCACCGAAGGCCCCAGTCGCTGCGTCTGCATGGTGGCACGCCCCATTTCGGCGCCACCCTCCGACACTTCGTGGCTCCGTAGGAAGCTCCACCGAAGGCCCCATTGGCTGCGTCCGCATGGTGGCCCGCCCCATCCCGGCGCACCGCTCACACGGTTCGTGGCCCCACAGGGAGCTCCACCGAAGGCCCCCGTGACTGCGTCCGCATGGTGACCCGGCCCAGTTCGGCGCACACCTCACACGTTTCGTCGCTCCATGGGGAGCTCCACCGAAGGCGCCAGTAGCTGCGTCTGAATGGTGACCTGCCCGATTTCGGCACACCCCTCACGCTTCGTAGCCCCACAAAAAGCTCCACAGAAGGCCCCCGTGGCTGCGTCTGTATGGTGACCCGCCCCAGTTCGGCGTACCCCTGTCACGCTTCGTCACTCAATAGGGAGCTCCACCGAAGGTTCCAGTGGCTGCATCCGCATGATGACCCGCCCCATTTCGGCGCACCCCTCACACGCTTCGTCGCTCCATGGGGAGCTCCACCGAAGGTCCCACTGGCTGCGTCCGCAAGGTGATCCGCCCCATTTCGGCGCACCCCTCGCGCGCTTCGTGCCACCCCCGTTTGCGATTTGAGTCCCGAAAGTACGTGTGTGAAGGAGCAGCGTTGAGTGCGGTCGGGCGTTCTTCAGCGAAGAGTTCAGGGGCACGGCGGATCCCTCAGTGTGTTCTTATATGATGAACGGTCCTGTGTATAGTCGCCGAGTGTTTAGAATGGGTTGGGTTCTTCGCCAAGACAGTTTGAAGACCGTGGGAGGCCACATTACGGCAGGTTCGTGTCGTGCCGACTTCGGCGCTGGTTTCTGACACCGTGGGGATCGTTCAACCTCGAAAGATCGGCCGTTTCCGAAACGTCCAAATCGTTCCACATCGAACGATTCTGGGTCGCCCGCGGCGTTCAAAGTTGAACGCCACTGGCGGGGTTGCCGCCGGTCGACACGACACGAACCTACCGTAGACATGCGTACGTGAGGCGGGCGTGTGGGGGGTTGTTGGGCTTGCGTGGCAAGTGCACGTTGGCATCCTAGATTCTCATGCTTTGAACATGTTTAAACGAGTTTCGAGAGGTCGCTTTGGACATGGTCGTTTGGGGTATGGCCATTTTGGGCATGCCTAATTGAGCTTGGCATGGTGGTGTCCTTTGAAAACTACGGGAAGTCAAGCATAAGGCATAACGCTGGCTGGTCAAGCACAGGCGGAACGCGCCAATCTGAGCTGCAGACGCGCTGCTGACGCGTGCGCTCCAGCAAGAGCCGCACGGCCCCGGTCGGGGGCGGGCGGTTGCGAGCATGTGGGAAGAAGTCAAGAGAGTCAACGAGCACTGGACCTGGCCGAACGCCAGGCACGAATGGCCACATTCTCCCTCTCTCTCTCTCTCTCTCTACCTCTCTCACCAGCACTCCATTCTTGCAGCGCGGGGAGGACAGGCCCGCTCCAGCCCCCCAGAAAAGATACCCCGAATCTTTCAAACGGCCGTCGACCCGTCCGCGCCCTTCATGTAGCCGGCTGGGAACTCCTCGGGCCAGCGACACCCTGGGCCCTGGCATGGTGTATCGTTACGCCCTCCTGGCCGAGGCCAGGACTGGCCGAGGCCAGGAGGCTCCATATACGGTACCACCCTGGGACCCAGGATGGCCCTGGCAAGGTACGGTGGTATTGTACAGATGCCCTCTGGTATCCTCCCGGCAAGAGGCGAACAGGCAGACGGGCGGCGTCCACACCAGCTGGCCCCCCTGGCTCGGGCAGCTCGCAACCGCTGGGGTGCCCCGCCGCGGCGCCACGCAGCTCACGGTGCAGCTGCCTCCGGGTGGCACGTCCGCGCAGTCCGACACGTCGAGCAGACTGCAATTGTTCAGGGTGTCGAAGTCCTCCAGGGCCTCGCAGTTGGAGGCCTGCCACGAGCGACGAGCATTCCCGTGCCCTCGCGATCTGGACACCACGGCGCGATCCCGTGGATACGCGATGTCACGGCTAGGTCCCGCGCGAGGCATCCTCGCAGAGCCGCCCCGTCTCCACGAGATCGCGGCCAGGGAGTCCAGGCTGAGAGAGGCCGTGGCTGCGGGCATGCTCCCGGCCGAGGGGCCTGTTCGCACCCGGTGAGCTGCAGAAGCATGGCGCAGCCCTCGCCGAAGACGCACTCGGCGTGCGCGACACCCACGTGGCCGAAGGCGCACTCCCAGGCGCCCTCCTGGTCGCTCTTGCCGTAGGCGGCAGGCGGCGGGTCTGGCTCGAGGCACGTGACGGCGCACTCTGGCAGCCCTCCCGCTGCGACCCGCGCAGGGTCGGTGTTGTTTCCCTCGCAGGAGAGGGTGGTCGACGCGCCGCTCCAATGGGGCGCCCTGCATAACACGGCGCAGGCCTCGCCTGCGTCGACCGCGTCTCCACAATCAGAGGTGTCGAACATGCACGGCTGAAGCATCCGAGGCAGCACACAGGGAACGATGGGTTCACAGCCACGCAGTAGCAACGTGGCCCTGCATTCTTCACACTCCACCTCGGCCAAACCGAAGAAGCCGTCGGCGCAATGCCAGGTGCCATCGGAGCCTTTGGTGTACCCGGCAGGCTCGGGGTACGGGTCAGGACACTCGACGAAGTGACCTTGCGGTGAGCCCTCTGACCCACAGCGACAAAGGACATGCGACCAGCATCAATCAGAGGCTAGCGGATTCAGAGCGGATCGAGCCGCAAACGCCAACGCAAAATCCGACCCAACCCCGATCCAGATCGAGACTCCGAGCCGCTGGATCACGATGTCGACAACTGACGCGAATTGTGCAGAACTACCCCCCCCCCTCCCTACGCTCGCACCCTACGCTCGCACCAAGAAGATGTTCCTAGGATATCATCTGGGGGTGCTGGATTCAAGAAGTAAGCATGACCGCGAGCCAGAAAGCGAAGAGCACTATATCGATAGGAAAACCCTTCGGGTGATGAGGGGGATGGGTGGACGGACGCAGCTTTCGATGTGCGATGGCCTCGCGCCGTTGAAGGAATACACATATGCAGAGGTATATGTGTACACATCGGCGTTCCGAGCGCTTCGTGACGATGTGAGATGCAAATGTCGCGCATTGGCATGGCACAAAGCAACATCCCGTCCTGTGGGATCTATGAAACAATGAGTTTAGTGTACGCTGGGCTCTCAAAATATAACGCGTCGACGATACATGTATCAATGTACACTTGTACTCATAAATAGTTCTACACAATTGGATGAGATCCCAGATTCAGATATCCAGAAAATGTGATCCGACTGCTCTTGACTCAGCCCGCTCGGATTCCGAAGGAAGAAGGGGAGGTCAGCTCGGCGCGGTCGGAACAAGGGTCAGCCTTCGCCCGCCAGCTCACGCGAAAGTAACGGACGAAGCCCATACCATCTGGACACTCTCAGAAAACGCCACGAACTTCTGCAACGGCGTAGTATGTACTGCGACCCTACTAACGAATCACAGGTATACACAAATAGACACACCTGTGCAACTATCCCGCTATACATCGATCACACGCCGTAACTCTTTATGTGCATACCGAACTATATACATCGCTATCTAGCTATGTAATGATGCGGAATACACATTGATGGCATGTCGAACTGATCGCACGCATCTACTCATATACACTTGTATGCGCAGTCAGGTACCAAACTCTCTGTAATACTGGACTTCTCGACCTGGTTATTGTCATATACGGATTGTATAGAGCTATGTACAAGTGCGTCCGCGTGTAGATATCCAGGCATCGAGCTAGTGGTCGGTCTGCGTACCGTTGTTTGGAAGTACTCAGCTGCACACCAAACTGCAATCAAACTAAGCGCGCACCAATTAAAGCAAATCAAACAGCTTATCTACATGCCTTTTTTGTTGTGGGCAGATACAAAGATATACTTGTACAAATGTCATGCACCTGTTTGCATATACACACATAAATATGTATAGATGCAAATGCAAAATACACGTATGCCGGCAATCACACACATACCGATATAGCTCCCCATGCAATTCCACGACTCCCGATATAACGATATGTGCACCTGCCCGCCCCTATCTTCAACGAGCTATCTGTTATACTCACATATATATATATGTAACTGCCCCACTCTTCAACCGCGGGCCAACCATTGGCCAACCCCAGCCACGCGCAAGAACGACCCTAGACAAGAGTGGCCTTTGGTGCGCGGCTTGCTGGTCGCTGACTGCGGTGCGCCCGTGGTGGCCTGCGTGCTCTGGTTTGGCTCCGCCGCGCCCCTAGGAAACCGAGTACGAAAGGCCACTTCGGCCAAAGGTCACACTTACGTGCAGGAGAGCCCAGAATCGAACCGAGATGTCGGGCCGGCGATCGCAATGAATCGGACCGGTGGAAATAGGCAGCGAAGTTGGGAGAAGTCGAATAGGTGACAATCGGCAGGCTGATAAGGCCTCCATTGAAAAGCCGAAGCCCACATTGGAATCCGAGGTCGAATCGGAATCGGAATCGGAATCGACCGAAATCCCACCAGCCCTTTGGGCGTGAGTGGTTTAGAGAGCTCGCTCTGTTCTCAACCCCCCTTCTTCCCCTTCGGGGAGGGGTTTACCCCTCCCCCTACCCCCTCCCCCTGGGCCTGGAGAGGGCGTTTCGCGGGTGGTTGGAGGGTTTTTGTTTCGACTCCTGGGGGGGCTAAAATCCCACCAGCCCTTTGGGCGTGAGTGGTTTAGAGAGCCCGCTCTGTTCTCAACCCCCCTTCTTCCCCTTCGGGGAGGGGTTTACCCCTCCCCCTACCCCCTCCCCTGGGCCTGGAGAGGGCGCCTCGCGGGTCGTTGGGGGTGTCATTTTCGACTCCTGGGAGGGCTAAAAAACGACGACCCTCACGAGGATTCTGGCCCCGACGGGGGGAGGGAGAAAAAACCCTCTCCTCTTCTGTGAAGCCAAAATCATTGATTTTACTACGGTTTTGGCCCCATTTTGGCATTCTGAGGGGGCAGCGCTCATTAAAGTTCTCCTCTTCCTTCAAGGCAAAATCATTGATTTTACGCAGGTTTTGGGCTCATGTTGCCCTTCTGAGGGGGCAGCGCTCATTAAAGCTCCCCTCTTCTTTGATCCATTCCCTCCAAGATGGCCCCTACAAGCGCCCAGGAGGCACCAAGAGGCCCCAAGATGGCCCCAAGAGGCCCCCAGGAGGCCCCCAAGAGGCATCCAAGAGGCCCCCAAGATGCCCCCAAGAGGCTCCCAAGAGGCCCCAAGAGGCTCCCCCGAGGCACCCAAGACGCTCCTGGAAGCCCCTGGGGCCGCCAAGAGGCCCCCAAGACGCCCCAAACGGCCTCCAAGAGGCTCCCAAGAGGCCCGAAGAGGCTCCCCCAAGGCACCCAAGACGCTCCTAGAAGCCCCTGGGGCCGCCAAGAGGCCCCCAAGACGCCCCAAAAGGGGACGAGGTGCCCGAACGCCTCACGCCACGAGGAGCCCGAACGACTCACACCAGGACGAGGGGCCCGAACGACTCACACCACGAAGAGCCCGAACGACTCACACCAGAAGGAGGGGCCCGAACGACTCACACCAGGACGAGGCGCCCGAACGACTCACACCATGAGGAGCCCGAACGACTCACACCACGACGAGGGCCCCGAACGACTCACACCACGAGGAGCCCGAACGAGTCACACCAGGAGGAGGGGCCCGAACGACTCACACCAGGACGAGGGGCCCGAACAACTCACACCACGAGAAGCCCGAACGACTCACACCAGGACGAAGAGCCCGAACGACTCACACCACGAAGAGCCCGAACGACTCACACCAGGAAGAAGGGCCCGAACGACTCACACCAGGACGAGAAACCCCAAACGACTCAAACCACGAGGAGCGCTTTCTCTCCCTCCTCCTCCGCCTCGTCCTTCTCCCGCTCCCCCCACAAGGAGGATGTACAAGGAGGCGGGAGGAAGGAGTAACAGGGGAGATATGCGGGGCCAAGCGGACACACGCCTGAAAAACACGACTGTCGGCATGCTTCGCAAGAGGTGCTGTTGTGAGATGGGCTGGTAGGGATACGCGAAGCGAAAAGAATTCGACACCCCTCACGAGGATTCTGGCCCCGACGGGGGGGGGGGAAGAAAGGCGCTCGCCCCATCTGTGATCGATCGCCCGACAGATTGCCCCAAGATTCCTCCCAGACCCCTCCCAAAGAGCCCCAAGAGGCCCCAAGAGGCCTCCAAGAGGCCCCCAAGATGTCCCCAAGAGGCCCCCAAGAGGCCCCAAGAGGCTCCCCCGAGGCACCCAAGACGCTCCTGGAAGCCCCTGGAGCCGCCAAGAGGCCCCCAAGACGCTCCAAACGGCCTCCACGAGGCTCCCAAGAGGCCCGAAGAGGCTCCCCCAAGGCACCCAAGACGCTCCTAGAAGCCCCTGGGGCCGCCAAGAGGCGCCGAAGACGCCCCAAAAGGCCTCCAAGAGCCTCCCAAAAGACATCTACTACTACTTCTACTACTACTACTACTACTACTACTACTACTACTACTACTACTACTACTACTACTACTACTACTACTACTACTACTACTACTACTACTACTACTACTACTACTACTACTACTACTACTACTACTACTACTACTACTACTACTACTACTACTACTACTACTACTACTACTACTACTACTACGTCTATTACTACTACTACGACTACTACTACTACTACTACTACTACTACTACTACTACTAGTACTACCACTACCACTGCTACAAATACCACTGCTACTATTACTACTGGGACTACTACTACTGCTGCTATTAGTGCTAAGACTACTAATTCTAATATTACTACTACTCCTATTACTGCGACTACCGCGACAACTACCACTACTACTACTAAGACTACCATCACTACTACTGCTACTACCACTACTACTACTACTACTACTACTACTACTACTACTACTACTACTACTACTACTACTACTACTACTACTACTACTAGTACTACTACTACTACTACTAGTACTACTACTTCTACTACTACTACTACTACTACTACTACTACTACTACTACTACTACTACTACTACTACTACTACGACTACTACTACTACTACTACTACTACTACTACTACTACTACTACTACTACTACTACTATATAGACCACTGCTCTAGTGACTGCCACTGCTACTGAGACAACTACTGCGACGACGACGTTGACGACTACGTTTGCTACTACCGCTGATACTGGTAATACCACTACTACTACTACTACTACTACTACTACTACTACTACTACTACTACTACTACTACTACTACTACTACTACTACTACTACTACTACTACTACTACTACTACTACTACTACTACTACTACTACTACTACTACTACTACTACTACTACTACTACTACTACTACTACTACTACTACTGCTACTACTGCTACTACTGCCACTACTACTACTACCACTACTCATTATACTACGACGGCTACTGCTACTGCTACTGCTACTGCTACTGCTACTGCTAGTGCTAGTATTCCTACTGCTTCTAGTACTACTACTACTACTACTACTACTACTACCACTACTACTACTACTACTACTACTACTACTACTACTACTACTACTACTACTACTACTTCCACTACAACAACT